TTTGCAATATTTGCCTTTATTTATCTGAAAAAGTCTCATGTTCCTTAAGTACATCTACCCTGTTGAACTTATTATGGGAAATAAATATTTAAATCAAAACAAGCTGCTGATTATTTCACATTTTACTTGTGAGCAACGGCACATTTAAATCCTACAAATATAGTTATTTGGCTTATATCGTGATATATAGCGTTATCGCCTGAAATGAAAAAAACATATCGTGATATGAAAAAAATCTTATATCGCCCAGCTCTACCTTCAATACAAAAATATTTTGTTTGTCATGGCTTACACAAGTAAAATTAACACAGAACTTAAAATGACTATATGAACACAAAAGTCATACCATTTTTTGTGTGCCAGATACTCCTCAACATCATAAAGTGGCTCCTGACAATTGACCATAAGGATCCAAGCCACCAACAATTAAAATTTTATATGAACCATGTCAGAATAAACAGTGTATATTACCCAACAGATATTATAAAAACAACACTATAAAGTAGGGGCAGTTTGAAATGCTGATAGAGTGTGTATATATGCTTAGGTCTGTCTCAGTAGTTCAGGATTGGATATGTGACTGGTGAGGGTTGACGGGGGCCTGAAATGATGAGAGTGTGGGTGAGAGCAACACAGGTCAGTACAGTACCATGGGTGGATTTCAGCAAAACCCACAGCGGGGTGACCCTGATATACGTGTTGACCAATGAATGGGTGGGTATGTGAACACACAGGTCTCTACAGGTATTCACAGCCAGTAATAAGACACATCTTCCCCTCCTTCAGAGTAACTTGAATCCCAACTCCGTGCCCGTTCTGCTGATTTTGAGGGATCTGATGACTTCCTCATTTTCATCTGTGGCTTTAATCTATTTGCAGCAGGACTGTGTGGGCTCAATTGGCAGGTCATTCACCTGTAGCAGGAGGTTGCGGTACCTCCTGCTACACCTTCTCTCTCTGGGCATAATCTATAGACAGGGTTGTCCCCCATCTGTTCTTTCGCAGTGTAGATGTCCTGTTACCAACAGGGGTCTAAGTTGCACAGGACCTCCTCTTTCAATGAGGTTGTGTACAAGACCTATATCCCCACAATGGAGGGCACTCTTGTCATAAAGTCCTTTACAATAAGAGCTCGTTGCCCGTTTGCATTTGCTATTCAGTATACCTGAATCATTCCTGTCCACCTCTTGGCATAACCACTTGGTGTTTCAGCCTCCTGATCTTTAGAGTCCAAAAAGGAGGTCAACGGGGCGACATAGATGATGGCCATAAAACAAGTAGTAGGGGAAGAGCCCTGTAGCCTCATGCTTTGTACAGTTGTACACATTAATGATATGTGGTAGGTGGTCTTTCCAGTTCTCCTTTTCTTTTTCTCCCAGAGTCCATAGCATTTACAACACAGTGTGCAATTTAGTCTCTCTGCCAGGTTTCCCCTGGGGCTCTTGAGTGACCAATACCAGATAACTGCCTGAGGGTGATGTTTGGTGGGATATTTGAACCTGGGGATGTAATCATTGAGAGAGAAAAAAAAAAAAAAAAACAACAACAGCGGCTGCCTTGCCAGCTTTGTTTTTGGTTGGGTCAGCCTAGGCACTTATACAGTCCACCCAAGGAGTTATGAAAGCTGTCAAGCACCTTAATTGTTCTACTATGAAACCTTAGTGGTAGGTCTGATCCAATATCAAAAACTAGCTG